TCGATGGAGGAATGGCCACCTTGAGTGGAAAGTATCAAAGTAAATATCAATATAGTCATGAGCAATCCACCGAGGAGCGTCAGAAACGAAATCATTGATCGTGGAAACAGGCGGCAAAGGGCAAAGATCATCGATCGAAAATTGTTGTTCGCTTACGGCTTCGCCCCCACTAGGCACACAGAAGACGCCGCGATGTTGACAGGCATTGCATGGCAATATGCCATCACAACGTACTTTCCGTAAATGACATGCAATACATGCCCTAAATTTCCGAGACGGTGGCGGTTCTCTCTGCGGATGGTAAGTCCGAATATGGCGTCGCAATAGGTCACTGATTACTCTCTGAGTTGTCAGTCTTCCCACGGGATCGGGGAAACTACTCACTTCCTGGTCAGGACGCTTTCACAATAAGGACAGGTCAGGTTGATTTCCTTATCATGATGGTTACGATGTCGATTCAGGTGCTCTTTACGCCGATATTTGGCGTTGCAATCTGGAAAGTCACATTGAAACCACGAGCGGACAGTATTGGCATGAGGCGGCATTGTGCAGAATTTTTGCGAACCTCTGGATGCCACAACATTGTGAAATGGCAAAAGTGGAGGCAAAAAGGGAGAAGAGAAGGTAATGGCCGGGAGCTCCGATGGGGGCTCGAGGAAGTTCACCAATGAAGTTACACCGGTCATCCCGCTTGATGAATAACACCACAGGTGGCGCTAATATCCGTGGATAAACCGGCAAGTGGGATAGGCCGATCCTCCAAGTGTATATCTACAACTGGCAAACCTTCGAAATGGAGTTAGTCCCTTTACTTCATCCAATACCTTGGAAAGATCTCTTCGCAGTTCAGCGGATCTCAATTGGAGTACACCACAATGCCCAGCCTCCATCATCCTGGAACCTTGCGCAACGACTCTGAACAAACCGACAGCCTCGATGTCGGCACCGAAACCTACCTCGCCTCACATCTCGAGTCAGCAATTTCCAAATTGGCCAGCATACATGCACCTCCGGAATTCGAAGTTTACTGGGACTCTGACGACCCCGAAAATCCCCGCCTGTGGCCGCTTTGGTACAAAGGCCTCACTGTCGCTGCTATGAGTCTTGGTGCTACAGTTGTCAGTCTCTCCAGCACACTGTATACATCTGGAATTCCAGGGCTACAAGAAGAATTTCATGTGTCGAAGATCACGGCTCTTCTTGGTGTCACGACTTACCTTCTTGGAATGGGGATAGGCAGCATCATTTTTGCTCCACTCAGCGAGCTTGTGGGACGGCGGCCAGTATATATTGTCTCAATGATAATATTTTTGCTTTTGTTGTTACCGAGTGCTTTGGCTCGAAACATTGCTTCAATCCTCGTGAGCAGGTTCTTTGGAGGATTCTTTGGAAGTGCATTGATGTCGAACTCGCCCGCATCTGTGAATGATATCATCTCGGACAAGCACCGTGCTTTGGCATTCGGCTTCTGGTCTATTGGTCCCACCAATGGCCCTGTTTATGGCCCAATCATAGGAGGATTTGTGTTTCAATATCTTGGCTGGAGGTGGACAAATTGGATTGTCCTCATCATTGGCGGTGTGGTCCTGGTCCTGATATCCTCTGTCAAAGAAACTTACGCCCCCGTGATCTTGAAAAAACGCGCCGCAATTCAAAGGAAAAAGACACAGGACCCAAAATGGTGGACACGCTATGACGATGGTGTCGGCTTTACATCCTCACTGATAATCAATCTCAAGAGACCTTTCGTGATGCTCTTAACAGAGCCGATATGGTAAGCTACCTCCCTCCCATGCTACAAAGCCAATGTTAACATTCTCGTAGTATATTCTGGGATGGCTACGTTGCGATTGTTTATGGTATCCTTTACCTATGTTTCGTCGCGTATCCAATCGCTTTCCAACAAGAACGTGGGTGGTCGCCAGGCATCGGTGGTCTTTCATTCGTCGGTATAGGCGTGGGTGTCTTGATCGCCATTGCATGCGAACCCTTGTTTCGTAAAGTGATCAATCTTCATCGCGAGGATCCAGAAACCGGCATGGTACAACCAGAGGCTATGGTCAGCATCGTCTTTTTTGGTGCTACTCTTCTAGCCATTGGCCAGTTGTGGTTTTCCTGGACTTGTACTCCAAATGTTCACTGGATCATCCCCATCCTAGCCGGTGTTCCCTTTGGAATTGGTAATGCTTGTGTCTTCATTTACGCCTCAAACTACATTGCCCGGTCTTATGGTATTTACGCCGCATCTGCACTTGCAGGAAATATGCTCACTCGCAGTGTCATGGGAGCATTCCTCCCACTTGCGGGGCCATTAATGTATAAGACTCTGGGCTTAAATTGGGGAAGTACAATCCTGGGAATTGTTGAGGCAGTATGCATCTTGATACCTGTCATTTTCTACTTTTACGGACACAGAATTCGAAAGGCCAGTCGCTTTATCAAGGAGGTAGAAAAGCTGCAGGCAGCTTGAAAAGAATTACTAGCAAAATGTTCTATTTGCTTTATATTTCTTCGAAGTGAGAATTGATGTCTATGATAAGTCATTTGATAACAACATTCCAAAATTCATCTTTCCCCTAAACGGTGGACTCGTGACAATCCTTATAGATAAGGTGTATTGACCAAGAACCAAGGTACAGTTGGGCATAAAGCCAAGAGAGGCCACTTTTTTCTTTTCGTGGTTTCAACGGGGTTTCCAGAATATTACATTTAGTCGGAGTAAGCCTTCGAGCGCAGCAGACAGCAGTTGTGTTGTTATGAAGGTCATCTACTCAGCAAATGTTCCAACCTGAAGCGTAAAATATACACTTCACGGAATATTTGTCGTTGTTCCGTCTAGTGATTTTGCATTATCCCTACCATATTAAACCGTAAACGGTCGGATTCTCCGCCAAGCCTTTTATGTGCAACCTTGGAAGTGGCTAGGCGATTGCTTATTATGTAAATACTAGAGAAGAATCACTCAATTTGATTCACAACTACTGTGCTGAATAAACCCGTGGGCATCCCGCAGAGATGTTATAAATATTTCTCCATTTTCGTGGCAAAACGAAACTTTATCTCTACGGGTGGGATGAGCCGAGCTTACATCACCAGTAGTATGAAACAAAATTTCTAATATTTTCAGAAAAGCAAAGTATTTAAACCTCGGTTTCCCATGAACGAAGGGTCTCCATATTCTATTCCATTGAGTCACATCCACAGTATCAAAAACTCACATCCCCGAATTTCGCTCTTACCGCAGTCATGGCAGACACATCCAAACCAACCCTTACAATCACACACATCACCACTGCAACTGCCATTCTCAACATTGATGGAGTCAACTTTCTGACAGATCCCTTCTTCGGGGCCATCGAAGGAACAGAGTATGATTCGACCGCGGTCTGGGAGCAAATGGACCTGAAACCGTACGGTCTCGATAGCATCCCCCCACCACCGCACCTTGTCAACAAGCAAGGACCAGCTCTTCAGCTCAATGAGTTGCCGCCTATCGATGCTGTGCTTCTTAGCCATGAGGATCACCTTGACAATCTGGACCCAGAAGGCCGTAAGCTGCTGGATGGCCGAAAGGTGTTTACCACCGTGGATGGTGCCTCCAACTTGCGTCCTCGCCCGGGAGTCATTGGGCTTCGCCCCTGGGAGACTGTGACTTCTTGTATCGGAGGAAAAACGTACCGAATCACTGGTACCCCTTGCAAGCACTTTCCAATTGGAGAAGTTACAGGCTTCGTCCTAGAGACCGATTCCTTCGGTGTTGATCCATCTGGCAAGCCTAATGCAATCTATTTCTCTGGAGATACCGTCTATATTGATGAACTGCAAGAGATTGGAAAGAGATGGCATGTTACTGCGGGAATTTTTAACCTGGGAAATGCCACCTTTGAGTTCCCAACTGGCCCTATTCAAATTACAATGGACGGTAAACAAGCCGTTCAGCTTGCCCGTGATATTGGCGCCGATGTCATGGTCCCAATCCATTTCGAATCGTGGGATCACTTCAAGGAGGGCGGCGCAGAGTTGCTGAAAGTTTTCACCCAAGAGGTATTTTTGGACAAGGTGTGCTGGACAGTTCCTGGTGTTCCCAAGGTTGTTTTTTGATTGTAAATCTCAAGATAATGCCATCCCTTTTTTTGGGGGGGGGTTTCTGCTTTACCCTCTTATGTCAGATAGATCGCTTTACTCGTAAGTTGGTCTAGACAAACTTCTCAGATCTAGAGCTAAGATTTTATGCTTCCCAATTCAGCATATCACAAGGCAAAAAAAAAAGTAGTCCTCAGTAGAAATAGGCTCTATATAGTCCTTGGAAGGTTGCGTGCCTTGGAAACTGGTAGACGATGAGTCATGCCGGCTCTGCTAATAGATAGTGTCAGAGGACTGACCAGGCTGTTACCATCAAACATCGGCTCTCGCTCGAACAATGTCTTGACGCACTGAAATCGTACAGTTTGTAGGTAGGGGAGTAAATGGAATTAGCGCCACAGGCGATAGCGTAGCCCTAGCCTCCCCCAACTTCTATTCCTTGCGCAAGAACTGGCTACACTGTATGAAAACAAAGCCATAGAAGAAGGACATCAGTCCTTGCCGGCATCAGTGGTTAATGTTCATCAAGCGTTACATAGTGAGGAAGAATGATTATGTATTAAAAATGGTTTCTAGGCTGGAAGCCACGGTAATGGAGCCGAATGAAATCATCAACTTCTTGTAAGAAACCCGCGAACAAATGCGCTAGCCATACAAATTGAGTAAATCATCCATTGGGACAAGATCTCTTTCTGTTCTCCGCAATTGATCTTCAATGCCATACAAGCAAGATCTTGTTCAACGGTTGAAATACCGCACCACTGCTCGTTTCATTTCTATCCTTTTTGAGGTTTTGAAATGAAACCTGACCAAGCCCAAATGATCTGGAGTTCTGTACATTACATTCCCTGCAATGAAGGATTTTGTCAGGGCTGAATGAAGCCTCACGTTTTACATGGTAGCTTCCCCAACAGATATTACAACGTCACATAAGTGCGGTAAACTATGCATGCGAACAAAACTTCACTCCGTGTTCCAGCCTCGAGCTTCACGTGCCTTGACTCGATATGCTGCATCGACTCGCTGCATTGCTCAATAATCTTGACGAGATTTCGAGATGAAAATTTCACTTTGTGCAGAAACAAAATCCGCAGGCGAACCGTTGAGCCGAGGTTCAGGTGATCAATACTTAGATAATCAGTGCTGCTGAGCGAGAGGGAAGTCAGGCTGGTTGAAAGCTCCACGGTCCTCAACAGGTAGGTAGTATAAGATTGCTGGTTTGTTTGCGCAATAGACGCGCAGTTCAAGATGATGAAGACGATTGAGGGTCTGTTCAATCGGGTCCGCAATATGCTGGTTATCTCGGCAAAAAAAGGCGCGAAATCATTTGTCATTGTTGACTGGATTTCGAGCTCTCTCAAGTTGGGAAGAGGCACATAGCATAAAGCCATGATTATCGGGTCAATCGATGCTTTCATTTTATCATGGATCAAGGACTTCAATGGCGGGCCGCTGAAATCGAGAGCTTTGAGATTGGGAAATTGACGCAAGCATGAAGAAAGCAAGCCGACAAGGTCTTCTGTGTATGATATAATGTCCCCCACTGAGTGGTAAGGAGTCATATCCAAGGTCGAATTGTTGCACATATTCAGCATATTGGCTGCTAGATATGCCCTCTAGCTTTCCTACAGATGGCAAGTGCGTCGTTTGGCTTATGGACCGGCTAAGGCTACAATGTGTCGGAAGAGACGGATTGGGGCTCTATGACAAAAGCTTTTTTAACCAAGCGGAGTCCAGCCAAGTTCTTTCGAATTTGTTTGTTCATGATTCGAAAGGACCAAGCAATTGATGTTTTCG